AATTAACTTGCAAAATTGAATTGTGTTTTTGATTTCAACAACACTTTTACCATGAAAAAACAGAAATATGCACATTTTATTGCAATATTATTTACATACATATCAGAATTAAGGGTGTAAACAGTCATGAGTTTCATTATTATTTTCATTGTTGAACGATTTTGATTGTATACAAACTGCCCTGGCAAAGTAATTGCTGTCCATTGACTTGACCTGCAGCAGCGCCCTTTGACCTGACAGGTCAAGTCTGTTTTTAAAAATGCTGAATCGAACTAGTGCAATTAATTTTCCATGACATGACGCCGAAATGAATTGCCAATGCTTGAACACAATCAGTTGGCACTGATTTCAGCAAAAAGAACAAGATTTTTGTTTAAACTAGCGATTTGCAATTTTTGAAAAGTAAACCAAGTGTGGAAGAAGTATTTAACACCTTTCACATCCAGGAACAAAAATCATGTTAAATTGTTTATTCACTCATGCACTATTCAAGGTGATCATAATGGACACTGTAATTATTCAAAAAAGCATAACTATGTTCAATTACTGGGTTTTATGACTTGACAATTTAATCCCCCAAAAATAGCTTAATTGAGCATGGACACTAAGTTGTACAGTATATGCTTCTATTAGAGGTGCGCTTTTATTAGAGGTACGCTTCTATTAGAACACATACAGTATTCAACAAATATTTACGATAGTTATGCACCCAGTAGGGAACACAATACTGTAGAATCAAATAATTCATAAAACACTGTGTCGAATTGAAAGTGTTCCAGACGCATTAAATTGTCTTCCCAATTTGGGCAATCATATTTACGTTACATTTAAAGTTTGCAAAATATGCAACATCATAACTTCCAAATTGTGGAATCTTTCTAACTGTTAATATTGCAACCAAAAACTGCTCTGTCTGAAAATTTATGTGTTTTTTTTAAATGAGTGTACTATTAGTCCAAAGCATATTCTTATATTGTGGCTAACTGCACCTGAATAATCTATTTACCCTCCTTGAAAAATTATTTTAAGGATTCACCAATCATGTTCATGTTTGGGGCTTGTAGGATCAGCAACCAATTAGAATTTGTGTTACAGATCACCTTCTAATTCATTAACAAATCTCATCAGAGCTAGAATGTGATTGGTCAGATGTAGTTAGAGGTTATGGTCACTAAGTATTGAGTGTGAACAAAGCCCAATCCTTAATTAGAATGAGTGCCTTCAATGTAAAACAAAAAACAAATCAGACGGAGGGTTTGGGGAAAAAGTGAAAACTGGACTCAAGATGTTTATTTTTAATAGCACTGGTGTTCTCGTATTTCTATGCCTACATCATATTTCTCTAAAGATATCTGACACGTATATGTAATTAAATCTACATTGTCTAAAAAATTCACCAACTAATACAATATCTACTAGACAAGCGGGAACAAAAAGGCCAATTGTTACAAGTTGTGTAATATCAGAACACTTAACTCAACAGGGGAACCTGCTTTTGTGCAATTGAATACCTACCAATTAACGACTATATATGCTAATTTGGGACATGAAATGCCGAGACAAGGCTATTACAGGGACATCCGCTAGTACTCGTGTTGGCTTAGATGTCAACAGAATCTGCTATGAGTAGGTGCCAATAATAATATAATACACGCAGCAATTCAATTTAGACCTAGATGGAATAAATGTATTAAATACAAAATTAGAGAACCACGACGACTCATCCATGTTGACGCAGTTGTGTGTTTTTTCCACACCCGACAGCCTATATCATGGATTCCCGTGCGTTTCCTCCCAATGAAACGCGCAGGTCACATTGAATGGATTATATAACAATGTGCTATACCAAATGCTGCTATAAAATACAGAGCTTTGTCCTTAGTCACATAAGATAAGGAGCAGAAGCTTAAATATACATGACCCAAATACCAAAACAGACGTAGATTTCGCCCGGGTTACGACATCATAAAAGATTTGTTGATTTCATGATTATAAGAGTAGTGATACTGACACTGTCAACACGTAATAATAATTTAGTAATTAGGTCAATTAAATCAAAATTTGTTTTTCTGTTTTTTCTTCATACAACTATCTGCGAGTGCTATTATTTCACTGTTTAGAAACAAACAAATTACAACATGGATGATTGTATATATATATTTAACAAATATTTATTTTAATTGTCTAAATGTCATCAACTGTAGTGGGAGAGATGATACAGTTGTTTTGGGTTTAAGTCCATGAGTATCAATGTTTACAGTTTAAAATTTAAAAACAATTAAAAAGTTAAGAAAATCATATGACCAATAATTACTGTCTAATTATAGACAAGCGGATAATTAAGCGAATACGAAAGCGGCCGCTTAAATAAAACGAACCACAACACTATATTGAATATTCGCAGATGGCAGTACAAAATGGCACGTTTTGTGTTCAAAGTAGTAAAAAAAAACGACATAGTTTGCTTCATATAGTGTTATGTAGTACAAGACCTTATTATTGGCATAATAGATACTAGATAATAGATAATTCTACATAATAGACCCTTGACAGAAATGGCTGCCAAAATCTCTTTGGGAGCGAGAGACCAAAAACATTTGTTCTCAACTATCAAATCGTGTTCAATTCCCCACTGTCATTGCGTCTGCTGATCTACTGTAACCATGGTTTCTAGAACATTTGATGTGATGATGATGGTCGGCAATAAAATACTATTTTAGAGGAGAAAAAACAAATCTGGATTTCTCGCTCGTAAGAATCTCAGTTGCCATTTGTGTCCATGGCCTTTTAGGCTTTTAGATATACTTTTTTGTGTGAAAATTTTGCCTGAAAACATACAAAAATGGGCTTTTTTTAAACTACCGGGTATTTCCACAAGAATTTATGTTAAAGAGTTACTTTTTTTAGAAAAAAATAGAATTTTTTCAGAATGTCCCAAATTCATTTGTGACAACCATAATTATTCATCTTATAACTGAATATAATTTGTTCATTATATGTTCCCAATAGAAATCTTTAAATAAGACAAAATAAGGACTCAAAAATATCCATGGATGTTTGGCACTATTTTTGTGCGTAACAGCATACAATAAAGCCACATCATGACATCGTAAATGTAAAAGAAACCTGGCGATAAATTTTAATGGTTGTCTAATCTTCCAGTTTGGGTTCAACTATTCTTCTTCTACATGTTTGGTCTGTGCACTGAAATTCTGAAGATAGTACAAGCTGGGTAGAGCAGGTGGGGAAACGAAAATCGTACCATGACCACGTTGATGAAACATTCAACAAACACTAAGTTAATAAATGTACATCTATACATGATGCGCGTGCAATGCTTACAGCACATTTCCGGGTTTACAATTCAACTAGGCTAACTGATATCTTACCTGGCAACCATATTCCGAGCCTTGTGAATAACATAAATTTTTCTCCCAATATTTACTCAATAAAACTATTTCTTTGCTTAAATCATGAAAAACAAATTCCAATTTTATCTGTGTATGTTTTGTATTGAAATCTCAGTAGTGTGATTTCCATGTACATGTGGATGAGTACTAAAACCCTGAAGCACTGTCATATCACATGGACTTAACGTAGAAGCCTACTCATAAATTAAAATACCCAGAATTTATTCATTTTGCAATAAACTGTACTCAATATAAGGATATTAGCCTAAAAAAAGTTGGGGGTCACTAGCTTTTTTTTTCGAGAAAATGATGGTTGTATTTTAGTGGAAAGACGCCATTTTGTCAGTATTATAACACTTTTACCATAGGTTCCTATGGCAGAGATATTATGCAATATCTCAAAATCTAGCCTGGTAACATAGGCTGAAGAAATCGTATATGATTGAGTATGTTTTGTCGTTCAGAATTATTTAAGTCCAATTTTTCTTTAACATTGTGTTCTATGGAATTGTTCTAAAAATAGCGATTTTCAAGAAATATTAGGACACGTTTCTCAAAAAACTTAACTGTAACACAAAAAACAATGCTATTTAATTGTACTATGGGGATAAACTTCATGATTGTACATAATAAACTAAAACGCTTTGATTACTAAATTCAACTTTTGTCATAATTTGCAAAATAAAATGTTACATTTTTTACAGATTTTTTCAAAAAATATTTAACAAGACCTGCTGCTAACAGAAAATGATGACCATTTGATTCAAAATTATCAAAAAAATTATAGGAAACTATTTGAAAATATGCAAAATTCTAAGTGGTCAATAGTATATTAAATGTACCGGTTATAGTATATTAAATGAGAAAAGGTTTCATAGTGAAAAGATTAATTCAATGAATACTTAATAAATATTGCACTTTAATACTGTAGAGAGATTAAATATTCAGGAAAAAGCAAATATCATGAAATTAAAAACACAAAACCATTTTGTTTTGCGTAGTCATACTCATAGTTGGAGGGTAGGGTTCTAAGTTAATTGCCGTTGTTGATAGCTAGACATATTCAGTCAGCATAATAACACAGGAATTCATTCTATTGACTGAAATTGCAAAAAGTAATAACTGTCACATCAAAATTGTAAAAATTAATGATTCTACAGCATTTTAATTTCACCACTTGCAGCAGGAAGAAAAGTGCTTCATCGATGGCAGAAACAATCTTCTCTTCTGAGGCTTCTCCTCTCAGCAGTTTCCACGAAACAAGGAAATATCTTGTGAAGCTTTTCTCCACCAGTTTCCTCTTTTCATCACAAATTCACAAAATAGTCCCGTTTATAGTCTGCACTTTCCTTCAGAAGATTGGGGAATAAATTGCCAAATTTTTTGAGTAAAAACTGAAGATAGACTAAAATTTTGTCTGTTGGCTCCAAAATTAAGGTTCATTTTCAAAAAATATTGAAGAATACGAGAAAAAAGTGCAGAAAAATTTGGCGAAATAGTCTGGTGGTGAAAAGGTTAAACTTCACTGAGCTATACTGTCAAATAAAGAATCTTAATATTATTATTACTAAGGAAAAAAATACAACTTACATGCTATGAAAAGATTGGCTCGGCTAACAATGGTCCCATAAATATTACTCGCAACGCATTCATACACGCCTTCGTCTTGCTTCTTGCGTTCGATCGTGGTGAAATATAGCGATCCATTCCTGAGTATAGTGTGTTGTTCGCTGTTTACAATTGCCTGCCCGTCTTTCCTCCAAGTGATATCAATGGGTAAAGCGCCTTCAGCGGCACAATCCCAAATAAACGAGGAACCCTTTACTACAGCTGCATTGTTCAATTCAACTGTGAATTCTAGGTCCTTGGCACAGAGTACTGAAAAGAAAATTCAGATATTTATAAATTATAAGACCAAACAGAGCTTATAATTATTTCTTTGAACATTTTTGTGCAATATTTTGCATTTTTCTATAAATTCTTCAACAAATTTGAACAAAATTGATGATTTCCCATTGGCTGTGATCAACACTCGTGACCGATTTTGGAAAACAATTCATTTTTATTGATCAAAACCACCCTAACAAACTTTTGCAAGAAAAATTTTTCATCAAGAATTTCTCTTCATTTGGTCCAAAATTAAGAAAAAAATATATTAAAAAAAATGTGCAAAAATGATAGACCACAAAAGTGGGACATAGATGATGTTGGAAATTTAACACCAAATTTCAGAAGTGAGAATTTAAAACCATACATTATATGTTTGTTTGTTTTTTAAATGTTTTTTTCTGTGCCAGGCGACAGTTCCGGACATTGAATGTCACTGTTGTCTCTTCTGACTTGACATAGTGCATTTTTCCACAGAAGTCATATTCATGTTTAGGACTACATGATAAGACTGTGTGGCCATCTTCCTATCAATTGGCAATTTAATGCGCTATCCCGGCGTCAACCAGCCCCTGTCAAACACAAGCACCTGCGGACCTTAACCAAGGTTCCCCCAAAATCGCATTCATTAGTGAATGAATCTCAGCCAGTGGAATGGCCTTCTCATTGAGTCTGTGGTACACTCACCCAGAGTGGGGGTCAACCCGTTTGATGTTCAGCCTAAGGTAGGATTTTAATTTTGGTCTACCGATCATGAGTCTGATGCGACAAACACTATGCTACCAGTGACCGCTATGTATTAATATTATTATGTATTAATATTAAGAAACACTATGCTAACTTAGGATCTGTATAGCCCCAAAGAATATCACAGAAGATAGAATGTAAAACAGCATTAATGATCCAAGTAGGAATGGACCATAAAAAACTAAATGGTGATGGCAGAGCACTTTCTAACGTACTAAAACTCTGTTTAAAACAATATCGTATTTGCTCTATTAGAAGCACATCATTAATAGATGCTCATACAAGCCATAAACATACTCCTGGCATTTACCTAACAAGCACTAATAGAACAAATACCATACAGTTTGAATATTTTTATCACAAAAGAGCAATCTCAGTGACATATATTAGCATGAGTTTTTGTGCATGCTAGCAAACGTGGTCACTGTAAAATCTCCAAAATTTCTATATGTACCATATTTAAATAATTAGTTTGACCTTTTTACCATCTGTTCCCTTTTTTCATCACAAATTCACAAAATAGTCCCGTTTATAGTCTGCACTTTCCTTCAGAAGATTGGAACAAAAATGCCAAATTTGTTGATTAAAAACTGAAAATTGACACAAATTTTGTCTGTTGGCTCCAAAATTAGAGTTCATTTTCAAAAATATTGAAAAAAAAAAAAAAAAATTTGGATGGCCAGGAATAAAAAAAACACTGTGTTACTTTGAATGGTTGAATTTTCATGGTACAATCTAGAGATTACAAAAGTCAAGAGATATACATGTTGCTAGAGGTAAAAAAAATAACTATCGATTTTGCAACGTGTTTCATGGCTGACAAATGTTAGGATTAAGTCTAAACTCTTGAGGATAACAGCTTTTATTGTGCGAATGAGTAAGCTGCATTTCAAACTATGAGCATCATGAAAGCTGTTGTAAACTGAAGGAATATTTTTCGTAGGACATTATAATCGTGGCTGAATGATAAGTAATGCTGGTAGAACTTAGAAATTTGGTTATTTTTGTGTGTATGTCAGAGAGACAACATTTTGGAGTACAGTCAAATTTCAAAAGACTTCATAAACCCATTGTGTTACCTTTTGTCATCGTTCACAATATTTAAAACCTACAAATTTTTTTCATAATTTTTCCATTAAGACTTGTTAAGACTTGTAGCCAATACGTAATTATGTCTACTTAGTCCAAAATTATTGAAAAAAAAATATTGAAAAATACACAAAAAACAAGACAAATTGTTGTACCGAAATTTTGTTGAAAAAAAATGATCGT